AATGTAAACGGAAACAGGGATTATCAAAGCCAAACAATAAATTCACAATAAATATAATACAATGTAATTATAATAAATATATAATAAATATAAAATAAATATAACATAAATATAATATAAATATAATAAATATAAGAAAATTATTTAAACGGGTTGATCGAGAAATAAATTATAATTTATTTATTATAAATCATAAATAAATTATAATATATTTACTTTAATACTTAAATCTTTTTTTATATAAGTATCTAATAGATTACTATGATATAATTAGTTACTATTAGTTACTATTATTAATTTTTGATTATTATTTTATTAATTATTAACCAACTTACGCAGAATATTACATATTTTTAATTTTTATAAAAAAATTTAATTATTTTACAATCAAATAAAAATATAACGATTAGATTCAGAATAAAAAAATACTTTACCTCTTTTTTTAAAATTTTCAAAGCTAGTTCATTATTTAAAATTTAGAATGTTGCAAATTAGAATATTTGGGAATAACCTTATGGTGCAAAGAAAATGCAACTTAAAAGGTCTTTTGAGTTGCATTTTCTTTTTCCCTACAAAGATTGCATCAAAAGAAAATATTGTTTATATGTTCTGGTTGAGGAAGTTCTCCTCAATATAGATTTGTTTTTACATTATAATATTTCTAAATAATAAATAAAATTGAAACAGTGTTTAAAAAATTGATATACTCTGTTTCATATTTCGCGTTAACGTGGTAAATAGAATATTCAGCACATTGATAAGAGTTAAAATTATTTAAAAACAACGACGATTACAGACCGTTCGTCCTAACTAAGCTAATTCGCTATCGAAGTTTGTCTTAACTAAGCTAATTCGCTATCAAAGTTCGTCTTCACTAAGCTAATTCGCTATCGAAGTTCGTCTTAACTTAGCTAATTCGCTATCGAAGTTTGTCTTAACTAAGCTAATTCGCTATCAAAGTTCGTCTTCACTAAGCTAATTCGCTATCGAAGTTCGTCTTAACTTAGCTAATTCGCCATCGAAGCAGAAAATAATTTAAATAAAAAAAGACAGTGATATGTTACATATCTTGAAAAGGAAAATGATATCTGTCATTCGTCAAATAAATTGGTTTTTAACATTATATCACATGTATTATTTATAATGTCTGAAATAATCATATCAAATATCTGCATCCAGACCTTTTTTTGAGCTTGAAGAGCGCTAAGGAATTATAAACACCAACAGAAAGTCAGCCATTTTGCCACTTGTTACTTATTAATTACCGTAGCACATGAAACTTTTGCAATGTTACCATAGTTGTGTGTATTAAATACATCATCACATTTTGGATCGCTGGTAACAAAGATTTCTGGTTTCAATTCTTTATTTTGCATTATAATCATAAATATTTTGTCTTTTTAATTTTATTTTATTATCAGCTATAAACACTGTCAAAACAGCGTTTGTTTCCCAAGCATGTTGGATTTTTTGTTCCAAAAATTTAAAAAATTTGCATTAAACAAAGGTTTCAAAATCATTCCCGACGGGCATTTGTTTTTAAAAGTTACGTTCTAAATGTGTTTTAAACGTCTTTTAAACGTTTTTTAAACATTAATGTTTAAAAGACGTTTAAAAGACATTTAAAATACATTTAGATCGTAACTTTTAAAAACAAATGCCCGTCGGGTAGTTTTGACCAAAATTTTGAATAATATTTAATTGAATAATTAACAATTGAATAATAAACCATTTTGATAACTTGGAGTATTTGGCAAAACTTTTTATGCACATAAAAAAGGGTTTCTACCAAATCAAAATTTTGTTTGCTCTATTCTAAGTAAAAATCGTTTTTTTTTTTAATTTTTTTGAAAAAAACATCAAAAATTACCGACGTTGAAAAGTGTGAATAATTCATTAAGCACTTTGTTTTTGGCATTAATATTGCTCCATCACAATATATTGAAAATGTCCACAAATAAATGATTTAGAATTTTATCTAAAATAAAGTTGTCCATTTTCTTCCAAAAATTAAAAAATCTAAAACAAGCTCCAACAAAAATGTTCCATTTGAAAAGTTTTTTACACTTGTATTAGCTTAAGATTTAATAATTAATTTTCTATCAATTACATCTACCAAGTCAGTTTATTTTAGAGCGACTGATAATTTATTGAAACAAATTCTTTTTTTAAAAAAATCTTTTTCGAAAATCAATCTAGAATGAAAAATAATAATTTTTAGACTTTTGTTTTACACAACCCTAATTTTTGGCTATGTATTACTAATTTTAACTAGAATGTAAAATAATTAAAAAAAAAATCTACACAAAATATTTGTCGCTAACTAGCCGACAGCCGATGAATTATTGCAAATGTTGCCAGCTAGTTGCTACCCAATTTCCCACTGGGTTAGTCTTGAATTAGCTTTCAGTTTTGAATTAAAAAAATATTGTTGTTCTAGAAACGGTAATAATTATTTTTTTTAATCTTACGAATCCTGAAATCTATTATTAGATTTCATATCTTAGCAACTAACTAACAATGATATAAAAAAGCGTTTTAATCATAACGATTGCTAGCTTTTCCTGCCACCAACTTGTTAGTTTTATTATTATTATTAATAGCTAGATGAAGTAAAGTTGCTATAACTATATAGAAACAATGTTTCTAGCTACGATACGTAACATACGGGGTCAGTTAAACTTTGCAATGACATTGCAAACTTTAACTGACCCCATTAACAATAAGGAACAAAGAATAAAATTTTTTTATTTGCATTCGAAAGTAAATCTAAAAAATATAACAAGAAAAACAGCCTAATAGTCACTTCAAGGCTAGCTATTTAGAACAAGGCTATTTAGAAGGAAGTCATTAGCTAAGCCATTAGCCCAATTTTTAACAAGTAGTAATATGTTTTAAGTATATTTCACAATTTTAGGAAAATGTTTTTAAATATTCTATTCAAACATTTTTTAAAACATTTGCTTTTGACTTTTTTTGATATATCCACTCTACCTTTTTTAATTTTTTTTAGAAAAAGTTTTTAAAAATAATTATACTGCAAACTAACATTAAACAAATTAATTAAATAGAATCTTAAGTAAAAAAAAAAAATTTGACGAATCAAGGCATTTACATAATACTGTTTATTTTTAACGTAGTTGAACGGAACACTTTAAATTAATAGAGTAAAGTTTGTGTTCTAGAAATAAATTTATTTTTTAGTAGCCTAAGACATTATGTGATTTATATTTGGAAATATATTGAACAGAAACAATAGAATTTTTTATTTTTTATAACTTTTATAACTATATATATTTATAAAATTTTATACTATACTACTTATACTATACTTTTACACAATAAAACTGTAGTCTTCGCTGTGGAAATTTTGTACTCACAATTTCTAACGTCATTATCAAATACTTTTTAGATTTAATCTCATTTAGTAGAAAATAAAAGTTTACATTAAAATTAAGTTAATTTTTTAGTAGCGCAAGGCATTATGTGATTGATATTCGGAAATATATTGCACAGAAGCTATAGATTTTTTATTTTTCTAATTGATTTTTCATTTCAAGTGCGGATCCATTGACAATCATCCCCCCCCCTATCTTTTTAAATTTATATATTTAATTCAACATGTTTTTTAAAAACACAAACAATTTAGGTAGGCTTTTAGAATTGGTTCGAAATAAGGATATTAATATATGGCTTAATTTGATGTTTACATAGATTAAAACAGTAATATTCTAAACACAAATATTTTAAAAAATTAACTAAAAAAGTTTTATGATTTATTATGGGCTAGTCTGCTTTACAATTAAAGTTATAAGTTTTCTCCCTACTTTACTAAATGGTCTGGATCGACCATATGAAGAAAACCTAAAAATCGCCGCAAACCCCCTCTCTCTATCTTCCTTTCTAGATGATGGAATAAAAAAACTGAAAATCGCTGGATCCGTCCCTGCTTCTTTTGATATGTCCACACTACTTTAAAAATAACTGTACTGAAAACTAACTTTAAACAAATTAATTGAACAGTAAATAGGATTATATTTTGAGGAACAAAGGCCATTTTTTAAGCATAGTTGTGCAGTTTTGTCCTTAATGTAGGAGAGCGCAATACTAAAGTTAAAAGCGTAAAATTTGTGTTCTAAAAATAAATTTATTTTTCAGAAGCGTAAAGGCATTATGCGATTGATATTTGGAACAGAAACAATAGAATTTCTTAAAAACTCAAGTGGTTGTGGGATGGACATCCGAACAAACAAACATATTGACGTCACCAAAACGGTATGCTTTTTATATTAAGATTAAATGGGCGCTCTCCTACGCAAAAAAATAACGTAACCAGCCACGTATGTTGAATTGACAAAATTGTTGTTTACACACCCCTTGCCCGTTGGTATGAGCCTATGAATAACTTTTATTTTAAGTTGAATGTAAAATGGAAATAAAATAAAAAATTGGCGCCTATTTATTTTTTACTATTTTTGGACTTTAGTTAAATAAAATAATTAAATAAAAAAAACTTCTTTTATGAATTTTATTGTTCATTACTTCCTCTTTGGGTTTTATTATTTTATTTGCTAATATAACTGATTTTTTACAATATTTTATAACATATCATTGATTTTAGACTGATAATACCTACATTTATTAAAACTATAACAATAAAAATAATATAAAGGAATAAAAAATACGAAACTATTTTCAAAACCCATTCTTCTTCAAAGATTGTAAGATGCTAGGAAGATGAAACAGAAGGAAGCGACAAACTTTCTAGTTAAATGCACTTTGCGATGCGATGCTCTACGATAAGTCCGTTGGGACTTCTTGTAGCATCTCATTAACCGACATAATAAAACAAAAAGCAACACAATAAAAAGCAACATAGCAACATAATAAAAAAAATAAAAATAAAAAATAAAAAAATCAATTGCAAAAAGTATATCATCTCAAAAAGTCCGAAATATTTAACAAATAAATTCCAGTCTTTTTCTTAACGCGTCCAAAATAATAACAAACTTTAAAGCTATTTTTAAAGTCGAGTCAGCAACAAATTCAGATGTTACTATTAATGTGTTCCAAATTAAAACGGCAATTACATTGAAGATTATTGTGATAATATGAAAACCTCAAGAAAAATTTCATTGAAAGAGAGTTTAAACCACGTTTATAAAGTGCTTTACATCAATAAATTGCCCATATAGAAAAATTTATAACGATAAAAGTTGAAACAATGAAATTCTGATTAACTTAAGTACGTGTAATTTGTTTAAAATATATGATATAAATATATTTGATGGAGCAAATTGGGAACTACGAGTACAATAAAAAAGACCTTATTGGTCATGGAGCTTTTGCTGTTGTATTTAAAGGAAAACCTTTGGTTTCTGTAAAAAAAGTAATACAGTAATTTTTTATTATTTTTCTATTTAAATTTAAGGTTCTTTACTACTTTTAAATAGGTTTTTATTTTTTATATTTGAGTAAAGAATTATCACAAAAATTAAATAGCTTCTAATAATCAGAGAGGGCGGATGTGTATTACTAGAAACCCCCTTTAGTAAGTCTGTGTAAAAGTCATATGAAATGAATATTGTTTAAAACCATACACTAACCAAACCCTAACCATGACCTTTAGGGTTAGGTTCAGAGTTCGGCATAGGGTTTGGCTTTCAATAAAGTAAACTTTATTGTTGAACAATTAAGTTTATTTTATTGAAAGCCAAACCCTATGCTGAACCCAACAATTTGTTGGTGTCATGGTAAAAGTATAATTTTCAATAAATGCTATGCCTAAAATGTGACTTGTTTTTTTACAGACTTACACAAGAGGGTGCCTGAATACATGTCTGCCATCAGATAGTCCAGAGCTGATCTAACTACAAAGTTAATTTTAGAGTGTTAATTTTGATTAACATTTTTCCCTTAGAGATAAGAATTCTCATTAAGTAGTTTGGTATTAATCGCTATTTTCTCCTGGTCTCTGATATCCAAGAGCTCCAAAAATGTTAATAGATTTATGGACTTTATTGTTAAATTATATAAAGAATATAAAGTTTCTAAACCTATCATTTTTTAGCTTGGAGTCTCTGATTTATCTTCATTTTACATAAGGACTAAAAGCAGTTTTTTTAATCTTCCTGCCACCCTCATGCAAAATTTTTTTAGCCAACCACCAGAAACTTTATAAATTTAATGGTCAAATAAATGTGAATTATAAGTAATTAAATTCAAAAATAATAAATTGCAACAAAATGTTTAAATTATATACAGCATTAAAAGGAACATTTTTAAAATTATATATAAGTTTTTTATATATAATTTAAATTTTATTTTTTCAGCATGTGAAATAACAAAATTTCTGCCCCAATTTACTTCTGCTCTTATGCAGTGCACAACCTTGTCTCCACTCCACTACTTGTCCTACTCCCAAAAAGCAGATGCTTACTGCAAGTGTAAAATTGAAAGTTTATATACCTTAAATATCTTGATCTTTCTCCCTGAAGTAGTTCATAAGCCTCAAAAGTTTTTGTAAAAAATAAAACAAAACAACAAAAGACAAGATCCTTGTTAGGTCTTATTAACCCTAATTCTTATCTTGGCCTTAATTGTCACCAGCTGTCACCATACACCATGTCACCAGCTGTCACCATACCATGACAGTCATAAAAAGCACCAACTGGTATATTTTTTCTGATTCAGAGTCATATATAAAACATGTCTGAAAATTTAACAAAAGTATTTAAGCTAGATGTTAAATTTTTAGAAAATACCCTGAGAATGCTAATATTTACCATCTTTTAACATTACACTATGATTAGAAGAGGTTAAATAATTTCATTATAAAAAAATATGGCCATATATTGATAAGACTTGTAAAAAGTTATATAAAATATTATAAAACCTATATATTCACAATTGTTATCTTATTTTATGACTTTTAATGACATGACATATCAAATCTCTAATTAAAGGATATTTCTTTAAATTACAGTTCTTTACTAAGTACTACGCAATTATTTTATAATTCAAATTATTTTAAACTGTAAAAATAATCAAAACATTTTGTTTTAACTTTTTTTTTTTTTTTTTTTTGTCTATATTGAATAAAATCAATTGTCACATATCCAATTATATCTAGATTTAAATAATAATCTATTGTTTAATTTGGTAATTTATTGTAATTTATTACAATGCAGCATACAAATAGATCAGAATAATTGCCTCCGAGGTAACTATCCCAGATTTGGTAGAAAACCTCAATTTTTTCCTGAACCTGTTACAGTGTTTGTACAATCCCCCTCCGATTTCTAAGGACTCATGAGTTGCCCTTAAAAACATCTGATTATAAATAATTATTATAGTTATATTGTCTGAACTTTTAATGATGTCATTCAAACAATTAAAGTCTTAATGTTTTAAATTTATCTTATGTATCTTAATGTGTTCTTTTATTTTAAACTTTTAACGCACTTCACCCCACTAATATATTTATTTTTCAAATAAAAAAGTTGTTTACATATCATTGTATATGGTAATATATTAAAAAAAATCTAAAAAGTTTCAGATTTCAATGATCTCAAAATTTAAGCATAACTATTAAAATTTTTGGCATAAAAGTAAATACATTTTAAAGTTATAAAAGCAAATGATCAAAATAAAATTATTTCAATTCTAACAAATACTTTTTCACAACTTATTTTATGAAAAATAATGTAGCTAATGCAACTTCCTGGTTGCAATATAACTATAGTTTTTTATAAAATTAATTATAACAATTCCCAACTTCCTATTTTTGATGAACCTTTCACATGCTGAAGGTGAAATTGACTGCTGAAGATATTTAAATAAGTGTTTAACCTTCATTTTACACCTTCTACATTGATTACTTTTAGAGGAACATTTTCATATTGCCTCAATAAACATCAGTTCGTCATGTAGGCAATTTTGTGCTCTTTTTTGTTTCTGGTCAGCAGAGTAATTTTTGTTGCCCACCAATATCATAGCTTCTTTTTAAACTTGTCAAAACTTGATCAAACCTTTTGAATGAAATAGTCCAATAGACTAAACTATATAAAATTATATATATATATATATATATATATATATATATATATATATATATATATATATATATATATATATATATATATATATATATATATATATATATATATAACATATATAAATAGACTATAAATTTCATACTATACAGGTATAAAGTTCATTCACCACTATCAAATCAATTTCACTCACTACTCTTAAAAAAATATAATATCCAATTGTGTTCTTTCTTTTTTTCATTTACTAGTTTTGAAAATATAACTTATTTGAGGTGCGTCACAAAGTCTGGAACTTTGCATTATCATGGGTTTCAGACCTTGAAAAATGATGGTATATTTTGGTGGTATTGATGTCTCATTTTTGCTAAATTGTTTTAATGAACTCCATCAGTCCATTTTTTTTAATGTATCTAGTCCACAAGGATAGTAGAAATTTTTTGCTAACAACACTAATGGTGTTGCTGTCTCCAAAGTTGCTGTCTCATTATTAAGATCAGCAATCAATAAATCTAGAGTAAAAGTGGTAAATGGTCAGAAATCCACTACCAAAATGTTGTGTATATATAATATATACAAAAATTATGTATATATAATATATACATAATTTTATATTATTATATATATACATATATATATATATATATATATATATATATATATATATATATATATATATATATATACATATATATATATATATATATATATATATATATATATATATATATATATATATATATATATATATATATATATATATATATATATATGTATATATATATATATATATATATATATATATATATATATGTATATATGTATATTTATATATATATATGTGTGTATATATATATGTATATATATATATATATATATATATGTGTGTGTGTGTATATATATATATATATATATATATATATATATATATATATATATATATATATATATATATGTATATATATATATATATATATATATATGTATATATATATATATATATATATATATATATATATATATATGTATATATATATATACATATATATATATATATATATATATATATGTATATATATATATATATATATATATATATATATATATATATATATATATATATATATATATATGTATATATATATATATATATATATATATATATATATATATATATATATATATATATATATATATATATATATATATATATACAGTAGCTTTCATAAATTTAGACGCATTTATTTTTTTTTCATATATGTAAGAAAATACTCAAAATAAAAATAAAATAAAAGTACTACCTATGTTTTATATATAATTTACAAGAGGAAGTGAAACTCTATTATAGAGTACCTTAATTTTTTTTACAGGATGTTTATTACTCATTCTATACCGATTAACACAAAAAAGTTAATTGATAAGCTTGATTTTATTTTGTTCATAAATTTAGACGCACAATCAAAAAAGTCTTATATCTTGTTAATTGATAGTTAGTTAGTAGTTTTTTCCCCATAAATCTCATTAATAGGCCTAAATAAATTGATTTTGTCAAAAAACCTTATATAAATATACACCGGAAGAATCAACTCCAGAATATACGTAGAAGTACTGAAATACAACTTAATTCCGTCAATTGACCTGCTTATGCTCAATGATAAACCATGGAAACTTCAACAAGATGGCGCTACTGCACATACTGCATACTATACAAAGGAGTGGTTCAACGATAATAGTATCATGACAATACCGTGGCCTCCATACTCACCTGATTTAAACCCGATTGAAAACATTTGGGCTTGGATTGACCGTGAATTAGCAAAGGTTCAAATTTCCACACTTACTCAGCTGAAGGAATTCCTTAAGGAGACCTGGTATGGGGTCCCAGAAAGCGATGTGCAAAAATTTTGTTTAGTCTATGCCTAGAAGAGTTCTTAGTTGTATTAAAGCAAAAGGCGGATACACAAAATATTGATGGGTTCATAAATTACGCCTTCTAATGTATCGTGCGTCTAAATTTATGAATAATTTTTTTTGTCTAATTTTTTTAATACCATGTAGTTGTACCTAATTATTACTTAGTATTTCATTTTTTTTGTAAACTTTTTTTAAATTTTGTATTCTGTATGTATTTATCTAATAAATAGAAAAAAAACTAAACCAAAATCTTTTTTTGTCATTGTTTTATCGTTGAAAAACTAAAAATTTCTATTCTCAAATATGAGTGCGTCTAAATTTATGAAAACCACTGTATATATATATATATATATATATATATATATATATATATATATATATATATATATATATATATATATATATATATATATATATATATATA